GGGAGGGCCCGGGGAACTCACGCGTCGCACGCGGCTCAGAGAGGGAAGCCACGTGAGGAGGATTTTGACGGAGTGTTCTCTGGGAAGACACGAATCTGCGCTCCAGCCAGAAGCCCGAGCTTCTACAGCCCGCCAGGCGCTTCGCAATTAAAGAGCCACATTAAATAGAGCAGCATGTTATGTGACGGGGTGGTCTGTGCACCAGCATCAGCAGCGCGTGCTGTCAGCTTGGCTGTTTCTAGGTTAGGAACAATATGTGAAGTATGCGGCCAGGCCAGACCCAGGTTTAAGTTCTGAGGAAATGCAATATGAACACCTACTTTTCTAATAATCACGTTATTTCTTCCAAATGGTGGCCTATACCTATTTTTGATATCGGCCTACACGTTGTTTTCGTAAAACCCTCTTTTATAATGATAATTAATTACTAATTTAATTATTGTAAATGGCCTATATAAGAATATTGGAAATGGTCAACTGTACCACTCAGAAAAGCTTCGCAGGAAGTATTTTTTGGTTAAAGAGTTACGATATTACCAAATATAAGTAATGAGAATACTAATTTACATGTGTCCCATACTGTATTTGCCTTTGAGAGATTAAGGGGGTTTGTCTTGTTAAATGACAGTCACATCAAAGTACAGTTAAGTTAACCTCTTCACTTTATGTCAAGGATGTATGTTGCAACTTGCATAATGAGGATTTACAAATGCGTAATTTAAATGATTTAGTTTCTTTAAAAACATGGGATTAACTCTTACAACTGATCCTGAATGCTTATGTTAGGTTGATGTAAACGTTAAACTTATAACTGCATATTTAGGTTCGTTTTGTATGCTATAAGAAATGGGATTTGAATTGTTGTTCAATCCAATTACCCAATAATTTCTGCAGGGAAGGGGTTATGTGTCAACACACACATGCACACAATCATTTCATCTTCTAGACTTTATGATCGGTACAGCCCCCCACTGCAGACATATTTTTTGCCAAGTTTAATGTTTATTAGCTTTGTCTCTGATCACACTGACCCCATGGATAAAATCAAGTCATGTGAATTCCAATTACATTAAAGCTCAGGGAAACCAGTTCAAGGTGTTCTTTTAGAGTTAGAAAGCTGAGAGGAAGACAAAATAACAAAAGACGTATGGAGAGATAAAAGATGCACTGCCAGTTAAATAGAAAATAAGCAATAAAATAAAACTTAAAATATATCAATCGACAATCAAATTAAAGCTTGAAATTACCAATTTTCCCCTCAACAACAAATAAGATCCTTCAAAATCACACAAAACCAGTAAACCCAGTATACGCAGTCATCTTTATAGGCTGACTAATACTACATCCATGTGATTACACATTTAACTGCATTGCTTGTTCCGTGACAAACACTGACCTACTTTATCCACATAAATAGAAAGTCATAACTCGGTGAGTGGGTTTAGTGTTGCCCTCAGATTAGTTACATGATGACCCTGCTTACAGGGAGCGTCCATCACCTGTACTGTAACGTGACTATCGCTGTTGTAAATGATTCACCATCAATTAGCAATTTGTAGCAAAAAGCATGTGCACCTTTGGCTGACCTCGAGAAAGCCCTGTCTAATAATCTTCACGGTTATCATGTAACCTGCAGGCACCGATAATAGAAACAAACACGACCTTTACGCCAAACTTTCTTTGTTTTTTCCAACGTGAGGTGATAAAGGGTTAGTGCACATAAAGTGCTGGCTCTGGAAGATTATTATACAGTGAGAGCCAGTGCACTGACGCTCCACGTGAGTTTGTTTTCATGGAGAGTAACAGGAAGTGGCCAGCCTTCCCACAACCTTATGGTGTTCTAACTGGGGCAACGCTGAGTTAAAAAGTAAAAACAAAGTTTGCGTAGAGTCCTCCTGCATGGTACTTTTATTAAAGTTGACATGATAATTCCCGAAGACCAAATCGCACGAGTCAGTACCTGCTAAACTTATATTTCTGGAACCTAATGTTTGACCAATAATTATAATTTACACTTTAGATTGCACACGGTTGATAATTATACCGTATTTGGCAACAAATTCAATGTAGAGATTTCAGTCAAATAATAAATAATGCCTTTTTGCATTATGGCCTATTATTAAATATTTCTTATTTCAGGTTTAGATTGAGTCAGACACATCTTAATAGTTTTCCCCTATTGATTGTTAGCAACAAAATCATTGAAAACGCTGCAAACCAATTCCGCAATCTTAGTTCAGAATTGCTTATATAATGGATAAGTGAAACTTACCACCACCAGGGCTGTTATCCATTTTCTCTTGTAGATGGCTATCACTTTCAAACGGACTTGAAAATAGATGTAGTTGAAAGTCACAATACTGGAGCTAAAATCTTTTGAAGACAGGTGAGGAAGTCAAAAAACAGCTTTGCGTAAAACACCTGCTCCATACAGCTACAAATATCAAGAAGTGATGGAAATGTTTCCAGTGAGCGTAAAGTTGTCTCCCAGTAAGTTGTAGAGATGTGTCTCTCTTGGTGCTCAGCTCAGGTCTGGCAGAGGTGAGTTGAACAGGCTGATCTTCTCAAAGATACCTGGATGCCTTCTGTTCTCGAGATACTGCGCCTCGACGCGAGCGAGTATGGTGTTGCACGAGCGAAGATTAAAACATTCTCACGATGAGAAAAAAAAGATAAATCAGCATATCCGTGAGCTAAGTGTCAGGCATGACATACACACCCACTGATACACACACCCATATCTATCACGTTTGTAGGTGAGTATGTGAAATGTGACCGCCTTTTAGAGTGATCAACTTGTGTCTGTTAGTGTGGGATTTGGCTCACTCTTTGTATCTCGCGGACTCCCTTCTCTCCCTCTCTCTCCTTCACGCTTTTGTGCATTTTCATTGGCGGGGATCTGGAGCGGAGGGGAGTGTGATGCGTTTATTCGACCGTGCATGAGTTCAGTAAAGCCACGCTACATGTGAGCCCTGCATGTGCCGGGGAGAGCGCTGCCCTACTGATACACTTTTTATGCAAAATACTGAGCGTGTGATGCACGGTGATGGATAGATTGGAGGATGAAGCACATGGACAACAGGCGTGGCTCACCGTGACTGCTGCCTCTCTGACTAGTAGCCCTGCAAACGGATGGTAAACACTGAAACATGCCAAACACTGACATGCCATTCAACAAGCAAGTGTAAAGTTTAAAGCCCCTGTGCCAAAGGAAACTGTAGATGCTCAACTAACCCTATGGCACGCCAAGAATAATATATGACGACCCGTAGGTAAACAGTCAATTGCGGATAAAATATTGAATGCTGAAATGCCAATCCTATATTATTTCAGCATGTATCTGTTTCGTGAAGACAGTCCCACTCTCCCCAGGACAGTTAAGTATTAAACACATATTTATTTCAATTAAGCATACTCCTTATTTTAAATGTTTGCCCAAAGTTAAGTTGTATAACATTCAGTCAGCAACAAACTCTGTAACCTGCTGCGTAACATGCAGGTTCATACTCAGCGTGTAGAAAGCGCCACCCAGTGGTCATTCATGGCATTGCCGCATACACAGGATCTGTCTGTCAAGAAAAAATGAAGTCTTAATAGAAGAGCATACTTAAATGTTACTTCAGACATATTTAGTCTTAGTCATAAAATATTTTCATATGTTGTAAAAACTTACATTAAGTTGGATTTACTTTCAACACACATTGCTGATAATCAGAAATCAATTTTAAACAGTAAGACATGAGTTAAGCATACAACTGAAAAATACACTGCTTTGAAGGTTATTCTTAAAATGAACCAAATGAATGTTTTTTATTACAAAGCTGTAATAAGTGTGTTCTATTATTATAATAATAGTGTGATAGGGTCGTGGATAAACCTGTCTCTGCGGTCCTGCCTGCATAGGTCTCGTGCGGCTTCCCTGAAGGCTCCCACAGGATTGTAGTTGACATCTTCGTAGATTTATCTTCTTATTACAGAGACTCATGCATTTCCTAACATTTGGACTACCTATGCTGTAAAATGTATTATCTCTTCGATTTACACACGGCATCTATTGCACGTGTGTCCGTCCTGGGAGAGGGATCCCTCCTCCGTTGCTCTCCCTGAGGTTTCTCCCATTTTTTCCGCCAAGGCACACAGGGGATAGGGTTTTCTCCCAGAAGTTTTTTTCCTTGTACGATGTGAGGGTCTAAGGATAAAGGGTGTCGTTTTGCTCATACTGATATTCTGAAAATCTGTACTGTCGTATTAGCTGTAAAGTGTCTCTACTGTAGGCTATTTTTATTATATGTACAGCAATTTGGCTCGACCAAAAATCGTTTATAAATGTGCTATATAAATAAAACTTGATTTGATAATGTATGTACATGATTATTTTCCATCTAGTAATTAATTTCTTTAAATCCCCCTTCTCATTGTTACTTATTTAAACAGTATAAAGACGTCTTAAAATTGACTAGCTCAAAAAAGTAGACCCTGCTTAATTTTGACAAGGACGAGCAGATTAAGTAGTGTATTTATTTACAGAGGATACATACATGGTAATTAGTGTACAGTAACTAAGTCGATTTACTAAAGTAAATAAGTACAATTTTGAGGGATTGGTACTTTATTTCATTTTCTTGCTACTTCTACCCCACTACAAATCAGAGGTAAATCGTGTACTTTTACTTCACTACATGTATTTTATACCTTTACTTTGCAGATTTGGATTAATGATGTCAAATATAAATCAACACTTAAATAAGAACTTCATATTCACAAGCTATACCCTGCAGCAGCGCCATATAGATAGAATTCTGTCTATATGGCGCTGCCCTGCAGTATATAAAGTCATTAAAATTAGCTGCACCTTTACAAGCTTTGATACAACTTAAATGCATCAATTATGATCAAAATATATAATATATATTATTCTAAAATAGGCCAATCTGCTTAACGAGTGCTTTTACGTTGGGGTCATTTAAGTATGTTTTGATGCTTATACTTTTGTACTTATAAAATAAAGTATTCCTGCACTCTTAAATAATCACATATAAATAATTGACATACACAATCCTACATAGAAAATATATAAATCACAACCATGAATACAAGAGTCGTTTAAACTGCAGGGGGCAGAAAGTGCATTAGCCATTGAGGTAAGTCATAGTTTTGAGTAGGCTACTTCTTCCACCTCTGGTAATTACTTGTTACTTGTTTTTGTTTTTATGTGGATTCCTTTCTTATGGGCTTAGATATGTCTCATAATGATTTGTGTAAACATAAAAATAATTTGTGTGTAAATGCATTTAAAAGATTTGCAAACTCACAAATACATTTGCAAATGTAAAACGGATCTGCAAATGCGCAAAATATTTTTACAAATAAAAAAAAGATCTTTGAATGTCTCTTTAACATTTACAACTTTCGATCAGGCATTTGTGAATCCATTTTGTATTTGGCGACCAAAAATGCGCTTGTGGATGATCTCAGAATTCTGCTTGTGGATCTCAAATCTCTGCTTGTGGATCGTCTTTTTACAAACTCTGGCCGTTTCTCAATCTCGAGGAAACTGGCTTCCAAGCCAATATTTCAAGGATGCTACGTCATCGAGTGCCGCCGAAGGACTGTTCCAATCTCCAGCATACTTGGAATTCCACCGAGGCCGCGTCCTTGGTTTGGGGGTAATTTCGAGGCTGCACATGGGTACTTTGCGTCCTGAAAATCCCCACAATGCTTTGCGCACGGACCAATTTCCCCAAATCTGTGGCGGAAAATGTAAGGCGGGGCCTCTCATATGATGCACACCTGCACACTTGCTAGCCTGTTCCACACTGTAAAAAAAAACAACTGTAAAAATCTGGCAGCTGGTGCTTCCAAAAACTTACCGTCAAATTACACTGAAATACCCTAATTACAATAATGGGAAAAAACCGTAAATATAATTAATTTCCTTTACAGAGAAACACTGTTATTTTACAGGTATCTTCCCTTGTTTATTACGGACATAATTTAGAGTTAAGCATGTAAATACTGTTATTTTAGTTTTATCCTAAATTATTACGGTCAAACACCTTCAATAAAGTGACAGAACTTAAAGTTCAGCAGTGAAACACTGTTATTTTACAGGTTTATCTGCTCTTTTTACAGTCAATAACCTTTAATAAAAGTACAGCACTAATACTTCTACGGGCAAAAACCCCGTAAAAAAACGGTCAAATGACTGACAGCAGCGGCTGCCAAACAAAAACCATAAAATTAAAGTAAAAGTAAAAATACTTTAACTGAAATAAAGTGCAAAAGCAATTAGTATACAGAAATTGTCCTTAAAGATTTTACAGGAAAACACTTTCCTCTCTTTTCAAAATCCATTGTCATCAAATGTTACATTCAAATACCTTAAATAAAGTTCTGATGAGAAAAACTGTTTTTTACATTTTTTTTATTATATTTGTATGATCAAACACTAAAATAAATACAGAACCTAAAGTTCTACAGCTAGAATACTGTTATTTTACAGCTTTTTTCTAACATTTTCCAATCAAACAGGTTAAACAAAATGACATGGAAAAATGGAAACAATTACTCTGAAAACTTAAAATATTTGTAGAATTATAGCACAACTAATGAATACAGCATTTCATATTTAAACATCATACTTATAAACAGTAGAAACAAAAAGTAAGCTGAATTTTTTTAAGAGTACTTTGAAACATTCTCAACTGAAAATAACAGGAATTACAAAATGGCGACATATGTTCACATTGTCAATTTGAAGGAGCAATGTGCAGGATTTAGTAAGTCTAACGTTGTAGGTTCCAACCAATGGATAACTTGTTCGCTCACCCTCCTATCCCAAGTCTGTAGGATAATGTATATTGGCTGCAAAAAACTTGAGGCCCAATCATGTTTCCTCTGTCCATTCTGCGCTACTGTAGACGTGGCAGTGCAACCTANCAATATTAAAATAATAAAAGGCTTGCAATATTTCAGTTGATTTGTAATGAATCCAGAATGTATGACATTTTTTTTTTTTTTTTAAATTGCATTACAGAAAATAAAGAACTTTATCACAATATTCTAATTTTCTGAGACAGTCCTGTATGTTCACATTGTCAATTTGAAGGAGCAATGTGCAGGATTTAGTAAGTCTAACGTTGTAGGTTCCAACCAATGGATAACTTGTTCGCTCACCCTCCTATCCCAAGTTTGTAGGATAATGTATATTGGCTGCAAAAAACTTGAGGCCCAATCATGTTTCCTCTGTCCATTCTGCGCTACTGTAGACGTGGCAGTGCAACCTAGATGACAAAAAGATCAGAATCAGAAACAGGTTTATTGCCAGGTAGGTTCACACGTACGAGGAATTTGACTAGGTGTCGTGGTGCATACATACAAATTTAAAAAAGTACACAGATAGCGAACTATATTAAGATCACAAATAAAAAATATAGTATGATAGCAATAAAATAAAGCAGTAATTTACATCGAAATAGAATGCAATAAATTATAGAATATAAAATTTATTGCATTCTATTTCGATGTAAATTACTGCTTTATTTTATTGCTATCATACTATATTTTTTATTTGTGATCTTAATATAGTTNAGTGGTGCTAAGGCATGTGGGCCCAGCATAATGTGAACGCGTGGAATTTTTTAGTGTGTGCGAAGTGCGCCCTGCCAAAACCTCTTCATCAGGACCAGAACCTCTCTCCATCAGGACCAGAACCTCTCTCCATCAGGACCAGAACCTCTCTCCATCAGGACCAAAACCTCTCTCCATCAGGACCA